GGGAAAGCCCTTGTCTAAGGTACATGGCTAATATTGGGCAAACATGCTGATGGGAACCTTTTTGTTTGTTTGTTTTGGCCCTTAAAAATGGGTGGATCTTCCTTTCAAAGGGTACTGGCACCAGGCCCGGTGGCACTGCAACATCAGGCTGGTGCGAGAAGGACTAGAGCCAGCCCTGACACCCTCCCTTTGGTGCCAGAAATGCTTTATCTTAGCCAAAAGGCCAAGATGCCAATGAGAACCCACCAGAAGGATTAAAGTTTTTTGTTTGTTTGGGGGTTTTTTTGAAAAATATATTTCTATAGATAGATAGACAGACAACCAATCTTACCAGTCTTCACAGCTCAAAACACAGTTTCAGAAACATAATCCTGTTACAAAACTCATTCCCATGCACCTATGCACCCACACACCCATTGCAATAGTCACACCTGCATACCTGTGTCCCTGTGCACCTGTCGTCATGCCACAATGATTAAGTTAGTGCAGCCTATCTGAATAAGACTTATGGTAGTGCCCTGGTAATGCCCATTGAGTGCAGTCCTTCTCACCGCTGACTCTTTTTAAAGTCATGTTAATCCACTACATTGTATATATTTTGACTTTCTCTTCACTCCCATAGCTGAGCTATACCTTTCTTTCCCATTTAAAATGATTCCTGTTTCTTCACCACCTTAAATGTCTGGAAAATATTATCAAATGGCACTAAATAATTCACCCAGAATCCCTTTGCTGGCCCCTCTCTTATCCTCATTCCTTATGCATATAGAGAGGTTTCCCTATTCCTCATCTGCATATAACATTTTGGAAGAAAACACCATCTCCACTCATGAGTGGGGGCTGATTACCACGTGGATCTTTTGTGGAAGCTCACTGGAGTACACACACATGCATAGTGAGCAACACTGAGCTGTGGGGTCACCATGGCTTGAAATGCTGTTGACTCTGTTGGGGCCCAACCCAATGACATATGTGGTAAATCATGAGCCTTTGGCTTTGGACTAATATCATGTATAGTTTGTTTGGCACAAGTAAGTTCCAAAGTACTATTTAAAAGTGTATTACTAGAGTACCTGTGCTAGAACTTACAGCAGTTTCCAAAAAGATAAAATGTATCCTTTCTGGATGAACTAAGTCTATGGGTACCATATGCAAACTGTTACAGCTATGTTTATTTCAAGGTCATCTTTTTCAAATTTGCTCCTCGCTTCTATGTCCTCAGGGAGAGCAGAATATGACAGTAAAGGGGAGAAAGGAGATGCAGTTGGGGAAGAAGGGGGGAAGAAGTTGTGGGGGTGGGGACATAGGAGCAACCTGATCCCCCCAGATTTATTTTCCCTGTTGTAACAATAGGAGGGTATGAAAGGGTGCTTGACACGCTCCTGTCACTTTAGGAGGAGAGGGTGCTTGAAAACCATCGTGCAGGTGTGGCAGGATTTGTTTGGGGAGTCACCTGACCAGAAAGGGGCCAGGCTTGAGGCATATAAGACCAGGGCCTGAGCTGGTTAGAAAGTAGCCCCAGGAGCCACAGGGAGCTCCTGGCAGCAGGGCTCCTAGCTGAACTTCTGAGCTGGGGATAAGCTCTGGAGGTTGCAGAAGGGACTAAGGGGTAGAGGAGGTTCCTAGGGGCCCAGTAAGGAGTCTGGGAGTCCAGAGAGGGGCTAAATGTGGGACCAGGGGGTCCCAGAGGGACATCTGAGTGGAATGTACATCAGCAAGTAATAACACTTGCAAGGCATGGGGCATGGTGTAGGGGTAGACGGAGTCACTCAATTTGCCCTTAAGGCAATGACCATGGGCACCTGGTGGTCATGAGAAGGAGATCAGGTTTCAGAAACCCTGGGGAAGCCTCCGTTATCTAAAAGTGAGATGCATCAAGGCATGGTGGATGAATGAAGGGGTGACTGTCCACAGACAACAGAGTGGATAAGGGCACCGCAGCCACCCCTGGAAGGGAACCCTATTACAGAGGGGAACAAATTAAAGGCAAACCTCCAATAATTAGATTCTCTACCTGGAAAATTGTATGAAATGTATACATTTTCCATATATAGAACCTAATTATTGGCTGTCATCTTATAATCAGGATCATTTTATATTTGAGCAAATATGGTAATTAACATTATGGGCCTTTTTCAAATCTCTATGTTCAAATACCTTTAACTTTAGGAGGAGATTGAAATCTGAATTTCACAGATGCACTCTACTTTTGTAGGGAGCTGAATTATCACATATTATTGCTCCTAATGCGCATTATCCATCCATAGATTTCAGAGATTTGTAAAGGTATAGGCATTTAATTGTGTCCATATTATAATTGGGGAAACAGACACAGAAAGTCACAGCAACTTAAGGCATAGTAAAAGGAAAATGCTTTTTTCAAAACAGTGTTAGGAACCGTCCAACACAATGGGAGTCAATTAATTCTGAAGACAAATTCTGAGGGATAAATCCCAAATCAGATAAAACCCCTGGGAGTGGGCTTAAATGAGGAATTTTTCTGGGATTAACTTTTAGAAGTTCCTATCCAGTCCTGTTCTAGGGATGGGATTGGTTCCTCAAGAGGAAGTGCTGGGGCCCTATTTAAAATGCAGTTGAATGCTCAAGGAACCATGCAGGCCTATGGTTTATTGGATGATATCCATATTGGCTGAGTGCTCCTGATCGGTCTGCCCCCAATGCCCAGTTGTTTGCCCAAGATTCCTGTTATAAGGGAATAACTCCAGCTAGGCGGGTTCTAGACAAGCCCCTTTGTTCTGAAATCTGACAAGTATGTGGCTCTGGTTGAAGCCTAGAGATGTCACTTGCATCTATGCTGTAGTAAGGTTGAAGTTATGCCTTGACCTATCTTAATCTAAATCCCATTTTAGGTTCAATATTGCAGTCAGCTGAACGCTCTTTTTCACTGGTGAAAGGTGGAAGGGCAGAGTATGCTGGAGCTCTGGCCTGGGAGAAAAAAGGGGCTTTTCCAGGGCAAAAAGTATTCACAGACTGGCTGGAATCAACAAAGGAGAATCCTGTTGTGGTTAGTTATGAGGTAAGAGTAAAAAACATTAGCAGGAAATAAGGAAAATTAATCTACTGTTGAAAGAGATAGAAGGCCTTCCATTTTTAAGCCACTCCTGTGTATTAGGGTGCATACATTCTGGGAAGGTAGGGGAGGTTAGATTAAGTTAAAAATGGCCATCTACTCTAAAGTAAATTGGGATGAGGAGGCTACTGGGGGGGCTTGGGGTGATCACAGGGGGCATGCAGGCTTTGAGGGCATTGCCCCCCCCCAGGGGGGGCAAGCAGGGTCCATGGAAGGAATTGGGTAAATTGGGGGGGCAGGTGAGGTCTGCAGGATGGATTGGGGTTAAAAGGGGTCTGTGGGGGGATTGAGGGATTGGGGAGGTAGGCAGGGTCAGTGAGGGATTGGTGGGGGTCCAGGAGGGTTTGGCAGGATGAGGGAGGTTGGTGAAATCTATGGGTGGGAATGGGGGAGGGTCTTGGGGA